GCGAGAGATAATGATTTTGGAGTATTTTCAATAACCAGTACATAGTACCGCCAACACTCCTACATGACCAGATAAACAAGATTATACCTCCACAAGAAGCGTGTTTAATTCAAATTTGATTAACAGCTAGGCCAGTAATAAATAAAGGATTGTCTTTATGTCAGATTACCCTTAGTCTACATTTATCAACCCTAAAGACAAGCTAAGTGTCCTCAAGTTGCTGGATTTTCCTATTTTCAACAACTATTCAAGTACAAGTGAAGGTTCTTTTTTGGCTTGCATGTAGTAAGCCTCTTGGATTGACTAACTAGGCATCAGTCCATCCGTTGGTCAGTCCATGATCCACCCGTCCTCTAATATGAAATCAATATAAACATACAGAATTCTCATTTCACTAAAGTCCTAAAAAACAATTTCCTGATGGTATACGATGTAATGTTAACTTGGACATATACAAATTACACTTTCCAATAATTTGATTCTACTTCTTTAACCTCTAGACTACCTGGAATGACGAGATTTCTCGTCACCTCAGAAATGACTTTGAAACCCAGAGTGTTGAGAAAACCTGTCACAAAATTATTCACTAAAATTGTTCTTACTTGAACAATTTTCATCCAATTTATACAAAAATTGTATTAAAATATGTAGAAATGGTCTCGTGCCATCTAATTTTACTAAGTTGAGCATCTGAAGTTGTATAGGTATGTAGCATAATGTCTAAAGGTGGCAAAAATGAAAAAATCTCTTGGTTTCAACCGATTTTAAAGCCTGAGATTCAAGAGATAAAAAGAGAGCTTCAACTACAATAATGTACTCGACTCTGACAATGGCTATATACAAAATGTTATCGAAATTTCATTTGCTGAGTTTTGAAATTAAATAACAGGTAGCCTATATTCACCCCACCCCACCCTACTTTTACAGTTACACGTACCAATAATATACAATTGTTTTCTAGTAAACATAGCATATAAAAACTTCTGTTAGGCACAATCTGTTACAGACAACATTTATTTGGCTGATACTGGCAAATCATCGTGAGAGATCATGACCTCCAATCAGTTTGTTTGGAGAAACATATTGCAAGCTGCAAAACAACATGATGTGATGAGTATCAAAATGTAGGTACCCTTTTCAATAGTTTCATTTCAGTTCATTAAAGGCCTCATACAAAGTTTGCAAATATGTTTTTATCATTTATCTACTATTGTTCATGACTTAAAGTTATTTCTAAATAGAGATGTTTGAAAAAAAGGTTATATTTGAAAATAAAAGGGTAAGACTAAAATATAAGCCAAGGCGGTTTAAACTTTACATGGGACCTTTAAAAGAGAGAGACCTTCATCTTTACTGTTTCATTATAGTCAGAGGCTAGAAATCACTAGAATATTTGGATTTAGGCTTCAGGGTAGAATGCCATGGTAACTTTTCGATATAATAATACTGATCACCAAAGGACACTTCCAAATCCCACGATTCTAAGTTCTAATTTTTCACAGTTTATTCTTAATGCCTTGTAATTTTTCAAAATAATACCATATGAACCAAGAACTGATACTCCATAGTATTTCTGTAGATTCCTATCTGAAGCTTGAGTATTTCTCATGAAGTTATAATTTACGATGTTCCATCAGAAGGGGCTACTTGTCTGTTATCTTTACTCATGTAATAAAATGTTCTAAACTTCCAGGGTAGTTTTATTCCATAGTTTACTATAGCACAAAGCACAGAAGCACATCTTTTAACGAGTAGACCAAAGAATCTTCAGCAAAAACATATTACTAACAGACCAACATTTTCATCAATTAATGTGGTTTATACAACTGTTCAAAAGGAGTTACATTGGAAGTGGCTAACATGATAGAACTCATTTGGGCAATCAGGCATAGTATAGCAAAACCTGTATATCCTAATACCTCTCTAATCTAAACACCATCCTGTCAATGTGAATACTTTTCTCGATCTTAATCATGTTATCTCCCATCTACTCATATATTAAGAAACTTTGAAATATGAACATCTGCAAATATGAACACCTCTCAATGTGAACACCTGCTAATCTGAACACCTTTGGCCAGTCCAAGTGGTGTCCAAATGAAAAGTTTTACTATCATCAAATAAAAATAAATTTTTACTGGTCCCTTGGTACATTAACCTCTGAGGAAGTGATATTATTTCAGAGTAGGATACATTCAACTCCAGCTTAATCTCTAGATCCTCTCTATACCTTTGGGTTTCCCTGGATACATCCGAGTCTCTTAAATGGCCATAAAAAACGAATGCTTTTATATAATTATTAACTATATATTATTGATAAAATGCCAACATGAGGTCGTAAGATGTGTGTTTTGTCAAGTTATATAATGTCATGAGAATAAAAGGCATCATGCCTTTTAGACAGAATCTCCAGGGTTATTTTAGACAATTTGTCTTGTTCAATCTATAAGAAAAAAGCGTGTATATGACAAGATGTCACTACCTGAATGCAATAACAAAAGTGTAACACTTGTTACTGATGTGTAACTCCCATGCTGACTGTGTTACTGACAATGAATGGTCACAAAACCTGGTTACTAAAAAGTATGTCAACAATACTTCAAGGTAGTGAAATAAACATGCAAAACAAGTATTTAAAATTTCCATTTTTCATACACAATCATTGAGGCAACATGCTTAAGGTCAGGGTGCATGTTCGGAATTTTGCTGCAACCCTCAATTGGGAAGAATGTTTCGATAAAATGTATAAAATCAAGAAAATTCAGTGAAAAAATTCAGAAATTTACAGAAATTTTTTTCACTTTATTTTCTTGTTTTTTATATACAATTTACAATACAAACCTTCTCACAAGGCTTTTCTAGGCACATAAGTGCACTCTTTGTGCAAAACAGGAAGATGTAGTCAATGTGGGGAAGGAGCGATTCCTGTTTGAAAAATAACATGTGACTCAATTGAGGAATGCAGAAAAATTCCGAACATGGACCCTGGCCTTAATTCAGAATACAGTTGTAGAATCTTTAGAGGTGGAGGGATTAGTTCACTGCTGAAGTCATAGGCAGTTTTTAACAAGACAGATTATATACAAGTGTATCCTTATTCAATGGGGATATTGTATTGCAATCAAAGTAAGTTATTTGTATAGCTTAGGAATGTATTTGGTTTTGACCACCCTCTATTTGAAACAGTACAGCAGTTAATCAAACAGTCGTGCCTTACTTTGACTACTGCCTGATCCGCAAATGTTAAAGGGGAAACAAAGAATCGAGACTAGTTGAGAGTAATTTTCTAAAATAAAATTGTTTCAATTTCACAATATGCTTTAACTTTGTTTCAAGTAATTTTGCAATAATTTTGAAAAAGTGCATTATTTTCTATTCTACTGAATGCAAAAATCTGCACTTTTAAATGTTCAATAACTTCAACATGATGTTAGTTAAATTCTAATTCTCAATTAGGATTGTAAGAGAAACATTGGTATGCTTTTCAAAGGGACATTTAAGTCTTTTCTTTGCTACCTCTTTAAATGTTCAGTCTTAAATCGACTCAAATTTTCTACATATATGTGCCTGTCTAAAAAATTTCTTAGCTTCATCTCAATTCTTCTAATTAACTTTATTTAATTCTTGATCCCAGTCGTTGTTTTTATCATCACATTGTGAACAAACCGAGAATCACAGTGGTTGTGTACAGAGTACCAACACAGACACAACATAACAAGGGCACCTGTTCTCAATCCAGGTACAAATCCTTATCTTTTTATCTGACTAGCTTCATCATCTGATCCCTGCAAAGTCATGATACACTTCTTAAAAATTCTACGAACAACAGTGCTCATGGTCACATTTCTGCACCATCACCTCTGTACCTTTAACCCTTGTTGTGCAAATCAGTCTTGTATACTGGTATCTGTTTTTCCATCCCTCAATTATTATAATCACATCCCGCAAGTATGTATAACATCAACCCATAAGAATGTGTTTTCAACCCCCTTCCCAACCCAGAATGTATCCTACCCCTTAATAGCCTCACCTAACACCATATCAATATCATATCCAATATCACTGAATATCATGCATATAACCTCACCCTATATAAATACCATACTCAATACCTCTTAATATCATCCTGAGTAAAGTCACTAAATAAAAGGTACCCCTAAAACTAAGTCCCCAGGACACTTCATTGTTGTAGCATATACCCTGGGGCCTTGACAGTCACACCCCTAGTCCCACTTTCCATCACCTATTGAATTAAGATCTCCTAACATACATGCTACCATAACCTAGTTCTACATGTTCATAGAAAAGAAGGACTTCTTACATAATATACTGATGTGAAATTACCAGTGTGTGCTGTATACAACCAAACACTAATCCAAGATAAGCAAACTGCCAAAATGGTAATATGAGCTCTTGGTATTCTCTTGAGTGCTTGGAATATAACAGAGCTATGTCTAGATCATTTTCAGAAAAGTGAACCTTATTCAATGTAGAACTAAAGTTCTCTTTGAAGTTCTAACATGACTTTTCCAAGAGAACAAATACAAGAAAACAATCCTGCAGAACTAGCACATTATCAGTGGTACACTGAAAAAGAGATTGAAATGGACCAAGGGCCATAACTATGGTAGGGGATAGAGAAGACTAGGTAAATGTCAAGGGGTGGCATCAAGCCGTAAGGCTTATCCTTCATTGAGACAATGGGATACTTGCCCATAGCCAGCTTTTACCAATGGGGGGATCTTTTGCCAAGCGGGGAGCTTTTTGACAGTTTTGGCTTCCACTCCCCCAGCTCTCCTCCCCCCTTTCTACAGGCCTTAAATACTATATAGTTGATGTCACATCTCATAAACCAACCCAACTAATCAAGTGAATATTCTATACATTTAGAATCCGAAAAATATGGACTAATCTGAACCATGTATCAAACACTGACATGCTCAGTAGAAATAGAGTCTGGATGGTCATCTATAAGACTGAACTGGTACAATGGTACATACCTGCCGCTACTTGGATCCTCTGGTTAAATTCTTCTAATTCTGAATCATCACGGTCATCTAAATCCTGTCCCGCTACCCTTGTGACATGTGTAGCCATGTTGTGATGTCACACGTGACTATACAACTTTGCATTGGTCAATTCTGAAAATGCAGACAAAATGAAATTTTCGAAATATGATTAACCTTTTAATTATGTAAAATCGTCATACATGTATTCCCAAGACTTTAGTTGTAAAAACATCATTTACCATGTATTCTAGTTAAGTAGATTATAATATGACAGAAATATTTTAGTGCAGTCAATCCAATCTTAATGCATCTTTCAGTGTTTATTGCCCAATATAATATCTTCTTGACAACCAGACCTAAATTTCAATGCTAATAGAATAAAACCTGTCTAAGTACCTTTAGTACCTCTAAAAAGTGTTCCACTTGGGAGGTGTTCTACTGAGGTTCATTTAAAATTAAGTCAGTTGGTCTTTGGTACTCTGAAAAGTGTTCCTCTAATGAAGTTGTTCAACTTCCAGAGTTGTTGAACTTTATAGGTTTCACAGTTTATAACATAAGCAAACGAAAATGAGAACATAAATATATATCTGTTGGCCAAATAGTTTTTCCTCTCACTGTATATTTAGTTTTAGGGGTAAAACATACAAAAATGTCAAATTTGTGCTTCAAGGATAATATGGTCAGTAGTTAGTATATACTTAAGGTTAAAGTTAGCATATAACCATTGATTTATATACTGTACTGTACATAGTTTGTATGTGGTGGTGTCCTTGGCATTTTTGTGTGTGATAAACATTTCCAGTGATTTTTATCAATTACAGGTACTTACAAGTTAATGTAGGAGTTAAACTCTATTTATCAGTACTGAGTAAGAAATGCCTAATCTTGGTCAAATTATCTCGTTTTAATGACTTTTTAAAATTCTAAATTCTGCAGAAGGAAATAACATTACATTATTTATTCCTGTCGGAAGATTATTTGTAGAATACATTTAGGAGAATACATTTAGCTTTGAGCAAGATTAATAATCGGAAATTAAGGTAGAATCAGATCTATTGGGTTGACAAAATTACAAGCAACATGTACAATTGACCTACCAATATATTCCTTACAATCTCAAATACAATATCTCCCAAAAGATTCATGATATGTTGAAAATTGGTGAAGTTATAATGGATTCAATGTGCAAAAATAGGTGAAAAATGTTTAAATTCTCCCAAATAATAAGAATGGTAACCATTCTTATAGAAAAATAATACATTATTGTGTAAAAATCTTTAGTTTTCCTGAAATAATGTGTGCACTTTGGTGATTTTTAGAAAATAGACATGAAAAGGAATGACATAAGCCAGAAATATTTTAAAATTGAAACAATTTTTTGTTAGGCTGCTCGCTAGATCTGATTCTCTCTTTATGCTCAACCTATTTTATTTATAGCATGCAACAATGCTGTAGGACCATTTTAAACAAGACTGGTATTGTAATAGCACTTTTATACAAAATCTATAAGGCCAAGAGAAATGTACATGTATGTCGTAGTTAGTAAGTTTGGTTTTAGACCAACCATACCTAAATATTTTCTATTTTCCTGAAAAATATGTCTTTATTTTAGCATATAAAAATTCTCTTTTCTGAATAGCTGTTCTGCGAAATCAGATTTTTTATTTATGCTTTACAATCAGCTGATATTGCAAAGAAACAATGATTATTTTATTTAAATATTGATAATTTCACCATTTTCACCATTAATTTACAATTTGCGCTCCTTTACCACACACTTGTTGACTAAGAAACACAACTCGTCATTATCCTGGCCTAATATATAGTTGTTACTCGAAATGTCAAATATGAAATAACAATGTGGTTGCAATAATATTAGATAAGTGCGTACTGTTATCACTGAATAATAATATTCATAACAAAAAATCAGTCTTGCATCACACCCTAATAATATACCCTCCAGTAACAAGTCATTGTATGCCCCCCCCCCCCAACTACACATCTCCCCTGTTTTTGTGAAGTAAATAGGGGGGGGGGTTCCAAAGTCTTGAAGCAAGACTATTGGAAATAATGGTAGGTTGGTAGAGGAACATGATACAAGACTATGACAATATAAATAGTAAAAAGTGGATGGGAAGGGGCTTTCAGAGACTTGACGCAAGACTACTAAATGTACTTTTAGAGAAACTGTAACTTAAAAAACACTTAGTAACGAATGTGGATAATTAACTTTGTTGGTACGACCACCACCACCTTCCAAAACACAAAAAATATATTCCAGCCTTAATGGTTTCACTCTGAAATCTGTCAATGAATTTGCTAAGAAATTAATTAGCTATGAATCTGCAGATTAGCATAAAATGTAAATCCAACCCAGATGAGTAATATGAATTGCTTTTTCTACTGCATAATGGAAGCTATTGAACAATGCTTATAGTGAATCAGGACTGAATCATAATTATTCAAATTATGATATATTCTCATGTTGTCTATATGACATGGATCATTAATCCCTATGTTTTCCACAGTCAGAATTTTGTATTAATTCTAGCGATTAAATATAGTTATAAGTTATCTATATCTTGCAGATGTTTGAGGGTTGCCAGAATTCTATTTATATATTTATATCCTGGAATTGACTTCGAGTTTCTACATTCAGACATTATGGTCTTCAGAGCCATAATCTCTTAGAGTACAGGCTAACTGGACACTGGTGTGGTTTACAGGGGGTTTATTTGCTTCTGTGTATTTGAATTATTTCCTCTTTTAGCTTCTGACCATAAACATATGGAAAACTTTCGAAGTATTGAGGTTCTTCCTGACTGGCAAATTAAAGATCAAGAAGTCTTACAAGGAACTGACATATTACTGAAAACCAGAAAATTTATTTTTTAATACTATTTTTGTGAAACTTAAATTGCGAAATTAATCTTGTAAAATTTTTGAGGAAAAATAAATTTTGTGAATTTATTAGTATTTCTACGAAAAAAGCATGATCTCCAATATAGCGGTCAAATGTTGTGATTCCACCCCGTCGAAAAGAGGTAATTTGTCAATCAAAAACAGTAAATCAAATCAAATCTTTGTATGCCACAAATATATGGGGGAAAAGGGCAGGGGAGAGATATACCACTGACAGATGAACATTTTGAAATACACGTACTGAGAACTTATTGAATAAAAATTAAAGTGAATGCCTCCACAATTCAAGATTCCTGAAATTTTTGTGATCAAGGGAGAACAAAGTGGATGAATGAATCGATATTAGGTCTGAAATAGATCTAAAATAGGTGAAACCTCATGGTGTTAATCTGTACCAGGACTGTACTGTCCTGTGTGCCAGCACTATAATAGTCCTGGCACTGGATATACAATGGTGTACCTTAACTATTGATAGTAGAAAATAATTGGCTTTTGAAAGCTATATAAAAAGCACAGCGGTCATGAAATTGCCTTATAAATAAGCTGGCATCTCGAATTCGTCCCATCCAAAATTGTAAAGAAAACAACAATGAATCAAAGACAACAAAATACAATCCAATAAAGGTTTATATTGATATTTAGCCTACACAGCCGTATCAGTTCATCAAATCTTGGGGATTTCCAAGTAACACAAATCAGACAAGATAATCAGCCTAATAAATTGAAGAATGAACCTTAGCCAAACTCAAACTGTCCCAACTTGTGGTCAAAATCTGATGGAAAATGAATGAGAAAAATGTGTGACATTTCCGATGGAGTGTTCTTAAATATCAACATCTTCTAACGAATTATCTTTATTAATGCATAGAAACATATGTAACTGTTCTACTCACCATCAGTATATACATGTGAATGTTGCTGAATAAGTCGTATTTGGCTGTAAAAAGTCCAAGTTGAAAAGCATAACTTCCGGAGTTTAGCAAACAAGAACTGGTGTAGATTTCGGATCATTGGAAAATAGAACCGATATCAACAAATTATTCCGCAAATAGTTCTCATTACTTAGTCTTATCTTGGACTTATAGATCTTGAAATACTTCTATCTCTTCTAAATACAGCAATTTTCATCCTAATATCAAAGAATATGTATTTAGGAGTGAATATCACAAAATATAGAGAAAAATAAGGGAACTATTTTCATTGTGGAATCAAAGGAAAAAAGTGTTCTTAGGTCAAGGAAAGTAGAAAAACAAAAATCTGCAAATATCTTTCGAAATTTCGTTATTATGGCTCTATATCGGGCTGTTGGGAAGTCCCTGCGATTAGTTGAGTCCAGGACCATAACACCTGTGTCTGCGTACCACAAAAATGTAAGTAGATTTATATATTGACTGTGTTGAAGAAAAATTTTATAACAGCCATGTTTTTCCTAAAATAAAAGTTACAAAACAAATATCATCTTCAAAGTCACTTACATAATTGTTTTTCACTTACTTTTCCAAGACCATGGGATTTATTCTCAGACTTTTGTTTATCACTGCATTGCATTTGTCAACTCTCCCGAGTATTTATTACCAGTTTTGATTGTTAGGTGATAGACCACTATGAAAATCCACGGAATGTTGGTGCGATGGACAAGAAGGAGAAAGCAGTTGGTACTGGTCTTGTAGGTGCACCTGCATGTGGTGACGTCATGAAGTTACAGGTAACCTTCTAGGTCTACATCTCGTGGATTAAATAAAACACTGGTATCGGCATTGCAATGTCTTGGCTAGTTTCACTCAACCAGATGACAATGCCAGCATGTTTGAAATAGGAAAGGTACACTTGGTTTTTGGCTTCAGCATTTGAACTCATTCAGATTGGAACAGTTCTAATCAATTTAGTATCATACTTTTCCCCCAATAATTTAATTGATCAAAAGCACACTGATTCTATTCTACAGTATTGGTAATGAACATTTATGAACCGTATTTGGTATTTTTACCAAATCACAATGGTCCGAATCCCAATGGTCTAAATCCCTAAGGTCTGAATCCCAGTCGTCCGAATCCCAGTCGTCCGAATCCCATTCGTCTAAAACCTAATGATCCAAAAATTAACAATTGTTGATACAATATTTTCAGAGAGACCACAGGGAAATATTATGATAGGAAGACTTTGCATAACATTATAACTCAACATATCTAAAAACCATATATTTTGGCCATATGTATGTATGTATACGAATGACGTTTCTTTATGTGTAGATAGATACATGTGATTACAGCAATCAGGAAAATGAGGCTTTTGTGCATAATAACACATCTAATTTTTACATTCAAATTAATTGTTGAATCTAAATCAGAAATAAAGCCTGATGTTTACGAAATGTGGCCGTAAAATATACCAAAGTGTAACATGCTAAATGAAATATTACCAATAAACATGGCTAGACAGGGAATCGAATTTATTCAACAATCACACATCAATGTGATATTTTATTCCATGTTCACACATTTCTTGCATCTTTATTTTGATTAAAATTAGGCGTTACTAGGTGGGATTTGGACGATTGCGATTCGGGCCCGTGGGATTCGGACCAATCAGATTCGGATTATTGGGATTTTAAAGAATATATTTTTCCAGCATATATCAAAATAGGGACACTAATAATAATTATATCCTCTATTTCAGATTAAGGTTGATGACAATGGGAAGATTGTAGATGCAAAGTTTAAGACATTTGGATGTGGTTCAGCCATCGCCTCAAGTAGTCTGGCTACTGAATGGATAAAAGGCAAATCTGTAAGTTGAGTCTAAATACCGATTGCAGTTAATTAAGAAATATAGACCGAATAGCAGGGGTAATATCGTCGAATACACCCCGCAGGGCTAGGCACAAACGTTTTCTGTAACCCGAACAACCGAAGGGAGTGAGGGGTTCGAAATCTTTCGTGCCTAGCCCTAAAGGGGTGTATTCTGCAGCTAAGGCCTTGCCAAACGCCAAAACAAGGGTCAGAAAAATTTTTGGCGAAGGAAAATGCACTTTGTCTCGACAATATCGGCGATAGATAATTGAGCCCATGAGAAACAGATATATGCTTAACCTTCTAAACAAATAGTTTGTCAATCTTACCTCTAGAATTGCTAAAATACTTGTAAAAGCAGGAAAAAGTTTTTTATTTATTTTTATGTTCCGGACCGCAATTCAATGAAAACGCACCTTTGATTGGCTTAAAACTAAGTGGTGGACCAATCAAAGCGTTCGATGCAATACATAATACAGCTTGAACTACGAACAAAATTATTCTTGCCGTTCCATAAATTCAACCAATATAATTATTTCGTCTTCTTGTGATTTTTATTTATAATTCGATTAACGCTGTAATTGAGGAACTTACCGCTGTATTAATCAGAAGTTTGAGCATTCACGACCTACAAATACCCAGACGAGTCATTGTATGATCGTTTCATACATGTAATTTTAAAATCATATTTTATTTGTTTGCATTTCTTGTAAATTCGATTCACGATGTCTCTTAACTTTAAAGGTAGGGCATTTTCTACTGATTCCCAGCTTTTCTGTGGATTGCCTCGATATAATTCGATAAAATATGTTATATTTTTGTTGCTTTTATGGTGCTTTTATGTCACAAAAAATGTCCAGTCATAAAATATTTTGGCGAGTCTGAATTCAAAGTGAGTGGTCAAATTTGGCTAGAGTGAAAATATAGCTGCCACACTGTTCTGAGGTCTATATTACGATTCGAAACATGAAAACTCACCAAAACGTTTTGAATATTCATTATGGTCCGCCCTTACTACTGCCTTCCGTTATGATGTCACACATTATTCGTATCACCAGGAGTATGTTCACGAATATGCCCCGGGTGAAATGATGACTTTGTTCACAGTTTATAGAAGGTGTGAAATGTGAATACAGTCATGTTCGAATGATCAGTTAGGGGAGATATGGAGAGAAAATATGGAATATGAGTATTAAAGTATAAAATGCTAATAGCTGTAAACATTCATGAAGAAAGTGAATAAGTTGCCACCACTCCCTTGACAAAAGCTGGCTATGGGCCTGCAGACTTTGATTTCCGAAGAAGAAGACTTTAGTCAAAGTCTGTTGATTATGCAAGTTACTTATAAATATGCATTGAAAATATTTAGGATAATATTCAAGATGAGTAACAACTGCTGCCCCTTTAATTATACTATTTGTATTTCAGTTGGATGAAGCTGGTGCTATAAAGAACACTGATATTGCCAAAGAGCTTTGTCTTCCTCCTGTTAAACTACACTGTTCAAGTAAGTTCAACTTAAATTACATTGTTCAAGTAAGTTCAACTTCAACTACATTGTTCAAGTAAGTTCAACTTATGGTTGTTTCTTTCCCTAGATTACACCAGCTCTCACCTTTAGTTTCACCAGAATTTGAGTAACCAGTTTTGAGCTTTTTATTTTGGAAATCAATTTCAATTGAGAATTTAGAAAGACATAGATATTCAGGGTTCACAACTAAGGTTAAAAACATGACTGCCACAAATAAACATTTGATTAATGAAAATACAGAATGAAATCCTGTGTTTAGGGCTGGTGTGAAAAGGTCAGTCCACCCAAGTGGGGATATAATCCACATTACGAATCAGATTCAGTGAATTCAGATTCAGTCCATTGCCCAATATGCAACAAGTTTTTCTGAGTCCATTGCCTAGAGGGAAACATGGTTGCCATAGTACAGCTTATTGAAAGGATACATCTAAATATTTTATTGTATTTGTATTACAGTGCTTTCAGAAGTTGTGATCAGAGTAACTCTGAGAGCCTGCAGGATCTGACCAATCACAGTTACTTAATCTTGTTTATCATGTGATATATTTGAATACTGTCCTTTATATTTCAGTGCTTGCTGAGGATGCAATCAGGGCAGCTCTGAGCGATTACAAGCTGAAAAATTCACCTACAGATGAAGCAGAAAAGGCTACTCGGGCAAATTAAAAAGGAACTCTGTTGATTTTATTAATTTCTTACGCACAATACAAGGCTTAGCAGTGATGAGAAATTAAAGTACAAGGCTTAGTAGTGATGAGAAAAAGTAAATGGGAAATATAACTTGGATCGGTGAATAAGTATTAATGAAAAAACATATTGAGCATAATGGAGAAATTGTATCATGGCAGATAAAAATTCAATTTGTGCATTGCAGTTTTTATGCCTTCTTAGAGTATAAGAAAAACTCTAATAATGAGAATCCTCAAATGTACAATGCACATTTATATGGACTGAACGAATTTTTCGGATCTAACCATTTTGCTAAATATTTTATGCTGTAAGAAGCGCACAAAGAGACAGAGTGGCTGTTTATTGTTTTAAGCAATAGTAGTGTATATATATATGTGTAGTTGTCTCACAAGAACAGGGCTACTTCAATTATAAAAACAAACCAGATTCACCCCTATGTTAGGCTCTGTATTTCATATTTAGACCCATAGCCAGCTTTCGCCAATGGGGGTTCATTACCAAAAATTCCAGGGGGTTCACATTTAACAACTTTGGCCAAAAATCACTTGAAAGTGCTCAGATTGGCTAAAAAAAGCATGATTTGAAAGAGTTATTGGCCAGGGGTCCTAATATTTTACATGTAATTTTATTTCCCAAATGCGTATTTGACAAAATGCTTTAGAGGTCACTAGTGTATAATTGATTATAATGGCATGCAACCTGTTTCAAAATTTTGGCTGGAAATTATATTGAACCATTTACATGTAGATAACCCTACAAAATGATGGACAGTGTTGGCTTCTATTTTGATATCTGATTACATTCAAAAACAGTCAAATAATCAGGTCTCAAAATACTGCAATGTAATACGTATTATGTAAATAAGTATTTTTGTTTTAATATATGTTTAAAATGATGAATTGTAGTTTGTTGGTCATAATTCATTTAATTATTCTGTTTCAACAAGATGTTGTTCACCTAAATAATAATAAAGATGCGAGTTGGTAGTTACCAGTTTCACCACCAGGTGGCTCGTTCATGCCAGATAGCATGGCGGGTATAGTAGAACAACTAAAACTTAAATAACATCTGTTTTAGTGGTGCAATGCTAATATTACCCTTATGTACCTAATAGTTATGCAAATTAAAACATGTCTAGTAAAAGAAAATGTTATCAGTCCAATACAAGAAAAGATCATTTACTTTTTGCGATTTTGTAACATGGGTTCTATGGGAATCAACATTTCAAAGAAAATAATTTTCGAAACCATATTTGTAGATGTAGTTTTACAGGTAGATTTCAAATATGACATCACTTTGACTGAATTTTGAATATTTAATGACGTAAATCAAGATTATTTCTACTCGCATCTAACTATTGTGATACTGAAAAGTGAGATCATGTAATATTTGATAAGAGTCAATTATAACAAATCAAAAATATTTAAAAAACATAGTGAAAATACCAAAGGGAATATCAGATCTTGTGAGAAATCTTAAAAAAGATTTCTCAATTTAAGAATGTTTTTACAATGCTATGTTCATTTATGCAGACTGTGCTATATGAAAGCAATCGGTGCAGATTTATGTGTGGGGGTGCAGGATTTAATCTGGCATGTGATATTTTATAAACTATAAAGGCAGGTTGGGTACTGTATTATATTCATAATCATACATGTGGAGGGTACTTACCTAATAAAAAGGACATTGTGTTGATAAGTATGTACATACGCGTTATGTACTAGGAGGTTTTGGATAAAGGGTATATCCCGACTGTATCTCATACTTTAGTGGGTTTTGGGGTAGATATAACCCTTTCCATCTTTTTCAAATGACAAGATCGACATATAAAAGCATCTTGATTCACAAGGTTTCGATTGTTCCTACCGGTCTCTAGACCCAGTGGAAAGCGACGATGCAAGCACAATTTATATTTAACATGATATGTACCCCAAACCCACTCAAGTATGAGATATATAGTGGTTATGCACTGGGAGGTTTTGGATACAGGGAATATCCCGAGGGATATACAATATATCTTCCCGAGGGACCGAAGGGACCGAGGGAAGATGTATTGTATATCCCAAGGGATATTCCATGTATCCAAACCGACCGTGCATAACTGGTGTATCTCATACTTGAGTGGGTTTAGGGTAGATATAACCTTTTCCACCTTTTTCAAATGACAAGATATTTATATTTAACATTTTCGTAATATTCTTTTTGTTCAATACAATGAAATTGTAACATTTAAACTTAAAAAAATTAAATTTTAAAATAAAAAATTAAAACTTTTGATATTTAAACTTTTTTAAACTTTTGAAAAATTGCCGGGAGCGGGATGGATATATTATATCTGCCCGCATTTGGCCTGGAGCGATACATATACAATATATCCTGTCCGCTCCTCAGATACGATATATATTCCCGGGTGTTATCTACCACAAACTCACTCAAGTATGAGATACAGTATTTTATTCTACAGCATGCACTAAGAATTAAATCTCGCTCCAAAGAACAGAATTTGAAATTGCCGTATTTTTGCACCATTTACAGCCTTTTTGCATTTTGACATCTTCAGCCCGCACTTGTTTTGGGACAGCAAATATCCGATGTTTCCTATTTTTTATAAGAAAGTTTATCATTTTCAAATTACAAAACCATTTTTTGAAACACTGAGAAACTGCGCGCATACTATTAAGAACTGGTTGGGAGGACACAAGGATGAAAAGTATAGGAAATACAAGGTTAGTCATTATGCTCGGCCATTATGTGGAGACTAACTTACTTTACATTTTACAAGTAGCACTCAATTTGTTACCCGATGTAGATCTAGTTATCTCAATATAAGGTTCCTCAGGAGCTTCCGTGTTGCATCATATAATGTCCGTTTGTCGTCGTTTGAAGTTTATTCAGCCATGTCTTTGCACAAGAGCTGAAAGATATAGGATTGGTGCATATGGTTTAAGAAATATAGTATTTTCTATTTCTGTGAAAAGTGCGACATCGACTTATTATATGTGTCGGTAATCGAAAAACTGATGACAATTTTTTTTATTAATCTGCTTATATTTTAAAACTTATACGTTCATCTGCACAATAGTTTTCGCTATCACATGGTAAAATTATATAATCGCCACCAAATGGACGTATGAAGCTATAAAACAATGCAGAATAAATGTCTTAAAATGACGTTTGAAAACACAGACTCCAACTTGTATGATGCAATGTTGATATGCGCCCAGTTTGTCAGTGTTTCAAATTGCGTGCATGTATGCGCCGTGCACTTGGTGAGGTCCATTGTGATAGAGGTAGAGGTTCAAGGGGATAAAGGTGCGCTTGGTGAGAGGTCCAAGGGGATCAAGGCCCACATAGTGAGAGGTCCATTCCGATTGAGCTCCAAGGCCCACTTGGTCAGAGGCCCGCTGTGATAGAGGTCCGAGGGGATATACCCCCACATTGAGACGTACATGGTGATAAGAGCTCCAAGGAGATAGCGACCCACTTGGTGAGAGGTCCATTTCGATAGAGCTCCAAGGCCCATTTGGTGAGAGGTCAATTGCGATAGAGTTCCGAGGGGATATAGCCCCACATGGTGAGACGTCCATTGTGATACACGGGATAGAAGTCCACTTAGTAGGTCTGTTTGGATATATATATTTTGTCTCAATGGTGTTCCCGGGTAATTTAACATTCCCAAGAGGAACAATTCGGAGACTTGAAAGAATAGTTCCTCTACGTTCACACTGGGAATACTGATTTTATTCCAAGGTTCATACCAACGGCGAATGCCACGCTTTAAATCGGCGAGCAAAGCTGAAAAGCGGCACCAAAGCGTAACAAAGCTTGATTAAAGCGTCGGGGTCGTAATAGCTCGAAGTAAAGCGGGATGTTCGGCAAGAGCGCCAAAATTTTTTAAACTGTTTCAGAAACAGAAACGGTTGGGCCTCCGTTACGAATTGATTAAAGCGCCGAGAGCGTATCAAAGCTTAACAAACCGTAACAAAGCTCAACAAAGCTTGACCCAAAGCGTAGGAAAGCTTAACAGAGCTTGGTTCAAAGCGGGATCCCCAGTCTCTTCACGGTCTGTTACCACTTTACACGCTTCGTTTAGATGTCTAAAGATTTGGCATGAAGATCTGACACGAGGTCAGACACTTTCATCAATATCTGACACTCTTTGTTACGCTTGCATGAAGGACTCTCAAGCTTTTTAACGAATTGAGACGCTTTAATCAAGGATTGAAACGCTTTGTTAAAGGGTTCCGATAAGCTTCCCGTATAAAATGAAAATCTCCCTTTTATAAATGTGTGACGATCTATACTGTACCAATGTTATATAAAAGTTAGAGGTGTTAACACAACGACCTCGAGCCTTTGAACCCTTGAGTATTATTCCGGGATTGAGCCTTTTATACTAAATGGTGAGCAACACCAGAAACGAGCGTTCGATTTGCTAAACGATATGCGTCACCCTTTAAGCCTGAGGCGCAGGAATATGTTAAAAATGTTTAAAAAGTCCTCTAGTACACTGAGTTGGTAATGTGTGGTGTATACATGTATATTAATAGAGAGTCTTTTACTACATTACTATATTACTTACATTGAATAAGACTGATTTTTTATTAATAAGAATAAGACTGTATACCCGGGCCTCAGCTTTAAGCTTTGTTACGCTTGACAAGCTTCCTCACGGTTTCTCACGCTGTTTCAGGCCGTTCGACAAACATCATGTCTTCTTCATCAATATCTGACTTGTTACGCTTTCATGAAGGAGCTTTTTAACAAATTGAGACGCTTTAATCAAGGATTGTAACGCTTTGTTACGCTTGACAAGCTTCCTCACGCTCATTCACGCCGTGCGACAAACATCATTCTTCTTCAGATAGGTCACGATCTGGTCCATTTTCAATTTCTGGATCTTGTTGTTCTGCCATAGTCTTCTCGAGTCAACGGTGCAATGGTTTTATGGATCTATTGCATCTTTATACAGCCATTTGATCAAAAGCGTCATGATAAAGGCGATCTCGAAAATGCACAACAGAGCTTGGCAATCGTATCAGAGCCTGATTAAAGCGTCATAATCGCATCAAAGCGTAATAATGCTTACCAAAGCTTATCAAAGCGTGATTTTAAGTGTAACAAAGCCTGGTCGAAACGGGATCATAGCGTGAGGAACCGTAACAAGTCGGGAAATCAGAGCGTATAAGAGCTTATCAGAGCGTGACATTACTTAGGAAATCGTGATATTTTTGGAAAAGTAAACAAAAATGACGGCGCTTTGCTCGCCGATTTAAAGCGTGGCATTCGCCGTTTATGTGAACGTAGCTTTAAAAATGTTTGGCGCTCTTGCCGAATATCCCGCTTTACTCCGAGCTTTTCTACGACCTATTACGACCCCGACGCTTTAATCAAGCTTTGTTACGCTTTGGTGCCGCTTTACAAGTCGCTTTAAAGCGCCATCAAAGCGCCGTTGGTGTGAACGTAGCTTTAGCAAATACAATGCCAAAAATTAGTCACACGGTGGCGTACGGTGGGCCCACTTGGTGAATGTGACAGTTACTTCATAGATTTAATAGTCATTCCGGTTGATCAGCGCTGGGACGCTCCCTGGACGCTACGCCACATTACCCAATGTAGTTCCCCGGTCTTGTCTACTCCATAAACAGTTTTTTGAAGTTGATAAGGGCATCCAGGGTATTTAAGCAAGACTTTACCTTATGATAATGATGAGGTTAGGCTACTCTTTATTGGAGAGGTTAAGCTTTGCATATATAATCGAAACTGAACCTGTACGTATCACTCGACCATATACAAATTCATGTAGCCTTCTCATATAAATAGTACCCTTTGCATTCGTTTGACTTCACTTCTTAAAAGAGAGCTTCGTCTTCACTCTTTCAAACTAAAACAAACCTGTGAACTCACCGCGCCAACCAGTGTTCGTCGGCCAAATTTGGCCGACGTTCTATATATGGGCATTCCTTCTGACGTCATCGTTGAGCCCGGTATTGACCAATGACATACGCATATTTAATTAGAACGCATTTGGCGTATGTTTCTTCAAGCTCGCTGATTGGTGGAAGAAGGTCAGCACGTAGGTCAGAAGTGATTTACTACCCAAACTGTCACCGGTACCCGTCCTGGGGGTGGGGCTACTAAACTGTAATATGGTCTCTACTAGGCAGAGTGTAGTTTAACTAGACTCTGCACGCAGGGTATATAAATAGCCGTTCAAATCCAGTGTTTGTTTAGACTACACCATAGCGTGTAATGATTCTATAGTATGTCATTGATGCGGTTTTATAGCTGGTTTTCTAATACATATTTTAAACGAGCTCGTTTCGTAAGATTTTTGGCGCTAAATCATGCATGACATACATCATCGTGTTCAGCAAGAATTCAACTGTGCATCGAAATCAAAATTGACAGCATAGTGTTCAATAGACACGAGTAAAATGGTTCCCGTTGACCCAACGTCAAATATTCAAATCTCCCGTTCTAAACCCGAAACTCTGAAGCTGAAAGAGTATCTGAAGTAGACTAAGCGCGCATAAAACTATGAGCGCTCGATACATTCCTTTGTTAATTTTTGTACTTTGCGTTCACGGTTACGTTGTGAAAAACATCGTTAGCTTAACCTCTCCATTAAAAGAACGTGTACACGAACGTTTAATATGTTGACTCCCATGGATAAATCTCTGTCAATTTGTCTTTTTCAGTGATCTCATTGCAACTATTTTCCTATATCGTTTTACTCAATCGTAAATACTACGAAAGGGAGAACTAAGTTTACACGTACGTACAAGTTCTCTTAAAACGCATAGCTCAACCTCCATGTTATATGGTATAGTGCCCTAATTACTAGATATAGTATAAAAGTAATTGCAGTTATGTCGTGTTTTATATGGTTTGTTATAACTGTTTCATAGTGTTTTACTGTTCCTCTGGTCTGGGATGCTTGCATTTAGTAGAAGAACTAAGATTTTCTTCAAACATCAAATTTCTCTGCCGCCATTTTCCTTAGGGTAATTTTATCAACTTTGCCGTTTGTAAGCTTTGGGAAGTCCTCTAAAATGTAGACATATTTGGGCGTTAGAGAGAGCCCATCCAGAGTTTGTTCGGTAAATTTCTGGTTGCAATAATCAATGATATATTTCTCTGTAGTGGGTTTGTCAGCATGAAGTACGATACACGCACAGAGCTCTTCGTAGAGTCGTGGATCAGGGACGGCAACAACGACCACTTTGTTCACGGCTGGATGAGTCAGGATGACATTTTCTATGTTCGTCGGAGCAATTAAAACCGTTCCACGTTTCACCATATCACTTTTCTTGCATGCGAAAACAAGGTACCCATTTTCTGTGAAGTACGCAACATCTTCCAAATCGAACCATCCATCTTCTATTTTTTCATTTGTTTTTTCTTCATCGTTTAAATAGCAAGTAAACAATTGAAAAGTTTTAAACTTGATGTTTCCGGACGTCCCGACAGGAACCAACTTTCCAAACTCGTCAGTTATTTTAATCTCAAAACCAGGATACGGATAGCCTACCGTTCCCTTTTGATCTGCTTCTATTTTGTCATTAACATCATAAAAGTGATTTGATATCAAATACGTTTCGGTTGATCCGTACCCGACCCCAATTCTGACGTTTGGTAATTTCTTCTTGATTCCTTCCACCAAAATATCCGGTATTCGCTGACCGCTGGTCCAAAGACTTTTCAGGTTATCAAGTTGGTATTCCTGGAGCGATGGTAGTTTGAGAATATCGTACAACATATAGGGCATCATTAGACCCATTGTGCACTTTTCTTGGGCAATAATTTGTAATATGGAATGGACATCTCGCTTAACGACCGATATCGTAGTATCAATAGTAACAGATGTCAACCCCGCAATACACGTTGCAAACGGTCCAAGGAATCCCCCAGACCATGTCAGTGGACGATCGGAAAAATAGCGACCACTCTCTGACGTCCGGAACCTTATCATTTGGAAGATGACATTATTAACAATGCCAAAATGGCGATGGACTACGAGTTTTGCCCGACCAGTTGATCCCGATGTTTGGAAAACCGCACAAGGACTGTCCTTTGTAACAGTATTGACTCGTTGAAGTAGCACTTCACGCTCCACTTCAGTGTGAACCATATTGTCGTACAGCATGGCCCCATCCAATGGTCGACTCCCTAATGCGACCACGAACTTTAATGTTGGAATATCTGGGTCATGTTTTGACGTCAGGAATTTTCCAAAAACATTTTTGATGATTTCATAATACTCCTCGGATTTCCCCGTGTGAAGGATTACACCGACGGCTTTTAGATCATTTAAAACAAGTTTCAAATCCTCGCCGCTTCTCATATTAAACGATACAAATGCGGGGTATGCATGACATTTCAACAACGCCTGCCAACTGACAATAAACTCCGTACAATTCGGCATCAAGATAGCTATTGCATCTTTTATGCCAACACCTGATTTAATCAAACTCGACGCAAGACCATTAGATAGATAGTCACATTCCTTGAAGGTAATAGCTTGACGGTTCGCAGTATCTACATCAGCAATGACCACACATTCTTTGTTTGGAGATGTCATGACAAATCGTTTAAATCTGTCCAAAATCGTTTCATTTGTAGGTGCAGTTACTAACCCTGTCTTCAGGTAGCTTGTTGTGAGAGGTGTCGATATCGGTCTGATATCCTTTCCAATGGTAGCATTCGTCTCACAACTTTGAACGACGGAATCCATTGTTTGTATATAGAGTCCTGACTCCGAGTAAAAAATATCCAGACGCTAACGTTTGACCGTTGTTTACATCCGTTGTTATCGGCTAACACCTAGAAATGCATAAGATACTTTGTCTAATTGAATTGTTTAATATATTTTTGAAAGTGCCTTACTAGCATCTAATTTTCAACCGATAAACCATTCATAAGGAACAGACAAATAAAAACAAATACATAATCATTACTAATAAGCCAAATGGGTTGCTCATGAACACCTAATGCAAGGTATAGTAGTGTGATATAGACTTTGACCTAACAAGTACTAACTTTTATAATATTGCCTCTGAGTCCGTTGCAGCTGTTTTAGAAATATTTAGAAATAGGCAATTCGTTATGCACCAAAGCCGGTGTAGAAGGGTAGGAGGTCCCATCAAGTTATGGTCCTACTCTCCATTGATTTATGTGGTGACCTAAATACAACTCTTTCCCTTATCATCTTATACACAATCAGGGCCAGTAAGGGCCGTTAAGAAGGAGGACCATAATCCCTGGGAGACCATAATTTCTTTCACACCGGTTCCTAATTCTCCCTGGCAAAATGTTAAACACCCTTTCTGTATCGTTTAACAGCAACTTTTGATTGAGCATAGGGCAGTATACCAAAAGCACCGTTTTGGAAATGGTGTACAAACACTTCTGTTTGACGAAGAGCATTGTAAAATGCTGTAAAAAGTAGAAGTAATCTAACATCGGTCGGCACACGGTTTACTCCTCTTCTTTGAGAGCTCTTGTGGTTTCAGCCCAATGGATGCAATCAATCAAGGTGCGCACTGCGTGTACAGACAAACCCATCCTGGGGTAGGACACCTAGAGAGGGATTCCCCAAGCTCATAAAAGATGAAGGAGTGAATATTCCATTGCAAAATATCAAAAGGGCATAGGTCATATCTATAGACATTTTCAGTGAAAAGAGATACAGCTGTTAACAGGGAGCATGTTACCTCGGCCTCCGCCTGTTTTATATGTCTCTGGTATAGTTATAAGCCTCTCTGTGACCCTCACCATCCTGGTGTAAAAGGGGAGGAGGTCCTATCAAATTATGGTCCTACTCTCCATTGATTTATATGGTGACCTAAATACAACTCTTTCCCTCATTATCTTATACACAATCAGGGCCAGTAAGGGCCGTTAAGAAAGGGGACCATAATCCCTGGGGGACCATCATTTCTTTAACACCGGGCTCATCATCTACTTGTTGACTAGAGCTAGACTAACACTGACTTTTTTTAGTTTTTCTGCACTATTGAGCCAAGGCTGAAGAAAAGAATTGAACACGATTATGTGTATTTTTATTGAGCACAACCCACCCCGGGAATCCACCACCCAACATGTTAAAAAAGTTAAGTAGCCACTATTATCATATCATAGTCGACAAAAATTGATAAGCATTGTATTATTGATGATTGTTAACAATTTGCCTCAATTTACACATACTCTTAGTCTAGCACTTAAGACACAAAACAATGGGTATTAAGACAAGAAACGTGATATCATCTATGCAGGTATTCGGGCCTCAGATACATGTCGTGCACATAAATCCATGACGTAGTACACATATCGCTAATAAACAAATAAACTTTCAGAAACTCAATTCTCAATGTTTATATATCGAATTGAAGGACTAAGCTAACATAGGTTATTGACTTTATATCAATGGCCACACAAAGTCTTTTACTACAGGGTTATAATGGGGAACTAATCAAACGTAAGTACATTCAGCCATTATACGTAAATAGATTCCAAACACAAACTATAGGCCTCCCAACGCTAGGCACAACAATCGAAGTCAAATTGATTCCGGAAATTAAACTTTTAGCTCTAGTCAAGGCAGAAAACCTGGGAAAATATTGCGATTTAGGTCAAGTTAGCTTAAAGTGCGAGTAATGGATAATAAAAGTCAAAGGCAAGTTGGGGAATGGATAAGAGAATGCATAGCAGGTGAGTGATAGTTGACCGGGCAGTGGACTGTGTATCTTCAATCATAGGTTGATCCAACATCGCCATATCATTCTGGAACTCATTCCATATTTCTAATTTGATAAAATTCCTTTTTTCAAATGTCCATTACATATTACATTGTCTTAAGATATCCTTTTTATGACACCATATTTGTTCAATGCCTAGAATCAAAGCCTGGGATCAATGCATTGGATTAATGTCTGGGATCATTGCCTTGGATCAATTATGCACTTCACTGTCTATTTCTTGGTGTTGGTATTTCTCATTGTGGCATCTATATCCAGTAGGCCCTAAGTTACTATCCCTTAGAATAGCCTCTCAAAAGCTTTAATAAAAGAGACTGAGAAATCAGAATGGATATTCTACAGAACCTTTACACGTGTTATCTTTGCAGTGATTGATGATATGCGGAAGAGAAAGAAAGAGCTGCTGAAGGAGATGAAGGATGAAGAAGAAGAGGGTCGTCATGTCCATAATGAGATTAGGAGTCTAACTGACAGACTGATGAACATCAATAAAAGCCTTAGTGAGAAAATGGAAGCCAGGGTTCAGTTTGACCGAGCAATAGAAAATACTGAATCATCTTACAAAAGGGTACGTTTACTTTGACATATGGTCATACTCACAGTCACCATATTACTGGAAGGGTTTGAAGAAGGGGTTCGGATTATCTATGGGTTTTTAGTTTGTGTCATACTTTTGATATAGTCAAGATATAGAAGTTACAACTATTTTATTCGGATGTCATAAGCAATATTCTTTAAATTGCTTCTGTTTTCCATCCCAGGGTTTCTGCACTGTGTATCCTTTCAAATTATTTGATTTGCTTCTTAAAAGAGAGCTTCAAATATACTCTTTGGTTTAGAGTTACTATATCTAGTAATCATGATCAACCCCCACTGGAATACGGTCGATCAAACTCCAGAAGTAGCTGTCATCGAACTTTATACTATTATAATCATAAGTATCCATAAGTTTATTATAAGTTAGTATTGAAACCCATATTAAAGGCTAGGACACCTTGGTTTGGAAAATTTTGGAATATTTATGTCTGACTGCTATTTATTAATAATAATATAACTTGAAATATGAAACCATTTAGGCACAGCAAAGTTGTGAGAAATCGAGTGAAATCCTCAATTTGATATCAGATTACACAGTCGTATACTTCTGAATTTCAGCTTCTCGAAGCGTCTGAAATGATGATCCAAGGCGTTAGGCATAACTACAAAATACTAGGAGAAGAGATGCCAGAGGCCTCTAGCGAGGACCACGATACATTACACAATTTTCCGTCAAGAGCATCTCGGATGTCTAGGCTCAATACAAACATTTCAAGAAATGACACTTTATTATCAAGGAATCCGACAAACGTAACGAGGAACAACACAAATACGTCTAGTAAACGAGCCTCTCGGAGTAACTCGAAAACGTAACTGAATGTGAAATTGTAACCTCAGACCAAATGCATAATTTAATATTCAGTTTAACATGATTTTTAGGTTAAATAAATTATATTTTATTAATTTTAAAATTTATGTTGATAATATTATTTAAACCAATGGAAATTGGCAGGTAACGTGTAATAATCGCTTCCCATAACACTTTCAATATAAGAGCGTATTCCGTTCAGTTGCACAGATTTTTGAATGGGTACCGTGTGTTACCCATCCAAAATAATAATTGAAAGTACAACTTAGTAAAACTACAAAACCATTGATGACTTCATTCATTCAATGTACTTTGAAGCCACGTTTCTCCTCTTTTCATGATCATGTCATTTATTCACATACAGTCATGGTTGACTGAATAATCATTCTTTGGCACAATGGGTCAAAGTCAACCAGGTGTAAAAGGGTAGGAGGTCCTCACAAATTATGGTCCTACTCTCCATTGATTTATATGGTGACCTAAATACAACTCTTTCCCTCATTATCTTATACACAATCAGGGCCAGTAAGGGCCGTTAAGAAACGGGACCATAATCCCTGAGGGACCATCATTTCTTTCACGCCGGTGTAAACGGGTAGGTGGTCCTATCAAATTTTGGTCCTACTCTCTATTGATTTATATGGTGACCTTATCACAATTATTTTCCTTATCATTTATACACAGTCGGGGCCGGTAAGGGCCCTAAGGAAAGGGGACCATAATCCCCAGGGGACCATACTTTCTTTTACAGGAACCAAGTTTTAGGCAATGTAAAAATCAGTGCATGGGTCCAGATGCTTTTGGAAGGAGGCGTGACATAAACGTAGTCCGCAAGATTACATCTCATGCGGCATGTTCCTCCACATAGCCACCATTTATCTGAACAAGGATATGAGTTCCCCATGGCTCTTTGACTAACACAAGGGTTCTGACATCCTGATCCACAAGGTTTCAGTTGCTCCATTTGTTATAACACCTTATTGGAAGTCGTTCAGATGGGTTTTGGCTCAGGGCAGCAACCCCGTTGGTGCTTCTTTCAATTCTCGTCTGGGGCTATCTCAACTAACCTTCCATCAGACATTGCAACAGCATTAATAGATGTCACCTGTGTAAACTATGTTTAGTCTAAGTTTAAAAAGGCGCTCGGGTACTTTCTGATACGCCTTGTGTGGATACTGGATACCCATTCCCATTCTGATACTCATAGCATCTTTCTGTTTCACCTGGGCTGAGAAGAAATGAGATGTCATGGTATATCATGATGACCCATTCCGTAGTCGATTATTGTTCTACATTTATTTTTGTGCTCGGCTTTTATGTATTAAACAGACCATTTTATGAAAAATGGTGACCTTATCCACCGGAAACAAAGATTATGTTTCACAGCAAGTATGGAGGGTGAAACTGTATTATAGCACACGCTCTGGGAAATTGATTATCCCATCGAACGAAGTTCGGAGGGATATAGGGAACGCCTCCGTCCGTCCGTCCGTCTGTACGTACGTCCGTCCGTACGTCTGTCCGTACGTCTGTCCGTACGTCCGTCTGTCCGGGCGATAACTCAAATACCGTTTGCCCGATTTTGTTCATATTTTATACACACATGCCCTATGAGGGTAGAAGTTCTGCTCGAAAGCCGATTTTCAAAATGGCCGCTCTATTCAAAATGGCAGCCATTTTAGTGCCGATTTTACAGTAATTTAGGTGCAATATGTAAAACTGTAATAGCAATATGTTTTAAATGTAAAAAAATTATGAAGGACATTAATAAAGCTACAAATGTAGACATTAAAGAAGCACATGGCAGCCATCTTGAAAAATGGCGGCCTTTACTCATTATTTCACGATTTTTGCTATAACTCGAAAAGTAGTGGAGCGATTTTGTTCATATTTGGTATGTGAATACTATAAGCATTGCACACTGTCTAAAGGCACTTTTGGTAGAAGGCGGCCATTTTTCAAAATGGCCGCCATTTTAACGTATTTTACTATAACTCGAAAAGTAGTGGAGCGATTTTGTTCATATTTGGTATGTGAGTACTATAAGCATGGCACACCGTCCTATGACACTTTTGGTAGAATGCGGCCATTTTGAAAATTTTTTTGAAAAATGGCCGCCATTTTAACGTATTTTACTATTACTTGAAAAGTAGTGAAGTGATTTTGTTCATATTTGGTATGTTTCATATTTCATATGTGAATACTATGGCAAACTGTCTAATGACACTTTGGGTAGTAGGTGGCCATTTTTCAAAATGGCCACCATTTTTACGTTTTTTACTATAACTTGAAAAGTAGTGAAGCGATTTTGTTCATATTTGATATGTGAATACTCATGAGCCTTGCACACTGTCTCATGACACTTCAGATAGTAGGCGGCCATTTTATAAAAATGGCTGTCATTTTTACATTTTTTACTATAACTCGTATAAAGTAGTGGAGCGATTTTGTTCATATTTGATATGTGAACAATTTAAGCATGGCACATTGTCTAATAAAACTTTGGGGAGTAGTCAGCCATTTTGAAAAATGGCCACCATTTTTATGTGTGTTATTTTACAAGTACATGTATGCGATTTTTCAAAGATTTTATAGGTGGCTACTTAAAAGCATATTATTTCTTCTGATGGCAACTTGGCTAGTGAGCAACCATTTTGAAAATGGTGGCCTTTCTGGTGTGTTGTTTTATGATGTTTGCTATATATTTCGTTTGTAAAATTGCCAGCCATTTCTGTTCGATGGGATTCGCTTGGCGTTGCCGTTGTTCTAGTTGTACTTTCCATAGACACGAACTATACATCTCTGTGGATAGAAGAACGAGAGTGACAGGGTGCCGACTTCCTTTGTTTACATTCGCATCGTGAAAAAATAGAAAGTCATAACTTTTTGAAACTCCAATCATCGAAACCAATGTCACTTATTTGCGACGTGTATTTTAGGTCAGAGTCATTCATTTCAACTCAAAATGAACGATTTCAACAGTTTAAGAAATTCAATGCAAGTCAACGTGTTAATACGGAATGGGTCACCTCCAGATTCACCCATTCCACGGGTGGAAAATCTACACGCCTATTTACAACCTACTGCCGAGCAAAGACCCGAAGATGTCTGAAAATGTAGGGGGAGACGTTAATATAATAAACTCAGTTTATATATTGAATTTCTCAATAGGTCATCATAAATTGTCCCTCGTCAATTAAAAGTATCCAATTTCATGACGAGCGTATTATGTTTTCCAATATTATGGCGAATGAAGTCAATTATGAGCAGTTTTATAACAGATCTTCACAACAATAGTGTTTGCCACTATAAACTGACATTTTCAGAGATATCCGGGAATCGATGATATATCCTGGCAATAAATGGGAGCACCGTTTCCAATCTTAATACCAATATGACCCTGTAGTCCAATTAAGTGAAAATAAAACCATCGGGTGCTTCAAATATAGATCAAAAGCCAATACCCTTTGTACAAGTATTCGTTCGACTTCGTTTCTTAAAGAGAGCTTCATCTTCCTGTCTTCGTTAGTTTATAACTAGACCCTGCGCGCAGGATAATGGCACAAAATGTTGGTAGCCCTTACTATATATCAAAAGATTTCTTTATATAACTCAGCTTGTCATGTGACCTAATATTTATATTTATATTCATTTTCAGTCGAAATATAATCAAATAGGTTATAAAACGAAACTCATAAAAGACCTGAGGAGTTAACGACCTGGCTTTCGGAAATATCTGACTAAATAATTCATCTTTTTCTGGAGGCCGTTTCTCGAAAGTTTCGTTATTAACGAATCGTTAATTCAATTGTTAATAGTACAATAACGTCATTTCGAAGGGCAATATAGTGAAATATTGGACCGAGGGCCGAAGGTCCAATATTTCACTTTATTATATACCTCAAATGTATTCTAGATGCTCATTGGCTTATTCATGGTCACATGACATGGAATAGATGAACTAATTCCCTGGAAAGTCCTAAATCCCTGCTTTCAGGGAAGATGAATTGTACTAATCACCAGTTAGGTCATGTGACCAGTCAATAGTACGTTTTATCTTCCCCCAAATCTGAGATTATAGGAGTTGAAAGGTAAAATGCCTTTAAATGCCAATAAGAACCTGTGAACGTTTGATATTGAAATGAAAAGACTTCTCATTTTGTTTTTGTTTACAGAGTACTTATCGGGTATATAATAAAACAAATAGTGACTGCCACATTTTCGGGAAATAGTGTAAAAATTTTCCTCTCGGGAATATCCTGTCCACTGACTTGTTCCCTCGGCCTGCAGCCTCGGGAACATGTCAGTGGACAGGATATTCCCTTGAGGAAAATATTTTGCACTATTTCCCTCAATGGCAGTCACTATTTCTACAATATTGCCCTTCGAAATGACGTTATTGTACTTTTGTTCCGTTCCTCGAAAGTTAACGATTCGCGATGACGTCATGATTTTTAACATATATTCGTCATCCATGATTGATTTTACGAGTAGGCCTACGAATGGGGGTCTCGTGTTATTACATTAACGATGCGATGTCCATAGAAACGAATCCACGATTCGCTATTAACTATTCGTTGATAACGATGATGTTCGAGAAACGGCCCCTGATTCATCACTATTGATGAGACAAAATTAACTTTTTACACAATGTCTTTATTTTTCAATCTTTCCGATCACATAGCGTGGATTCGAAGGTTACTTTATCAAATTCAAAGTGTGCAAAATATTACCTTTATAAATAAATATTTTGCAACACTCTTATTTTTTCTCTGAAGTATGGTTTTCGACATTTTCACAGTGGCCTACTAAAAATACATTTTATCCGTAGTTAGATATCACTCATCAACACTAAAACTCTAAAATTCTAAAATTTATGAACCTGATATTTTCCATTCTTCGAACACAGGGCTCTTGCACTCATACCTTCTCCTTCTGGAAGTAGGAAGGAATTTAGTGGATGACCTCTGGAACCCTGCGCTCGGAGGATGGAGATTTTCACCACGAAACAATGTAATGATAACCGGCAGTAATGTTGAAATAACTTTTCTCTTGTTGGAATTTTGTTGTGGTTGGAA